CATTCATTGGTAGACTTTCACTCAATAACTTCATTGGTAGACTGTCACCCAATACCTTCATTGGCAGACTTTCACTCAATACCTTCATTGGTAGACTTTCACTTAATAACTTCATTTGTGGACTGTCACTTAATACCTTCATTGGTAGACTGTCACTTAATACCTTCATTGGTAGACTGTCACTCAATACCTTCATTGGTAGACTGTCACTCAACTCTTTCATTGGTAGGTGTTCAGTCTGTGCCTTCATTGATACACTAACACTTAATATCTTCATTGCTAGATTAATTTATCTTCGGTAAATACTGTCCGTGAGTATCATATTCAAATCACTGTAAATTAACCCTGTCAATGTTATATCTGTTTACAGCAATGCTGGTGTACAGAGTGTTTCGAAATACTACAAAAATCTACATCAAATGCCTACATGGGATGATACATTTATTGGCTCTGATCTGTGCTGTGATTGGTTTAAAGGCTGTATTTGATAATCATAATTTCAATGGCATAACCAATATGTATAGTCTTCATAGCTGGATTGGAATCACGACTGTAGTCCTGTTTAGTTTACAGGTAAACCTTGTCTGCATAATTCTCTATGAACAGCAAGTTTCTTAAATTTGAGAATTTTTTTTTATCTCAAACATACTAAAATTATGAATTTTCAAAATGTTTTCAGCGAAAGTTTTCTGTAGTTTTATTTCTTTGCGGATTACGAATGTCACATTCATAATCCTATATCATATGTCAAATTTTTTTTCTTTATCATTATTGATGTAGAAACCTTTTTCTTGTCTCCCATATGACCTGACCTGGTTTCAAAATACCGGTACCCCCAATTTAGTTGGTATAATTGAATCTTGTTGTTCGCAAAGGAGTTAATTCAAACAATGGCTGGTTAAAAGCATGTCAAGAAGAAAAAAAACTATTAAAATGATACCTATAAATTGTCTCATATTTACCCTTACTGAGAACTGTCATATTAAACACCCTCAGTGAAACTTCGCTGTAAATATCATACACTTAATGGAACAATTCTGCAGGTTGGAAAGCGGTTGTACCTACCAACAGTAACATGGAAAATGGAAACACAACTTGTGACAAATGATAAGTCATATTCGGAAAGAACAATTTTAAAAATAATTAAAAAGGACTCATACAAGTTTTTAATATTTAGCTGAGTAAATAGTTCAATCAAATAAATAATGAGGAACAAAGAAAAAGTATGTACATCTGAACTTGTTTTTATGCAAATAATAACTTTCTGATATTCCTCATTTTTTCCTACTCTGGCGGCCATTTTGAATTCAAAATCTGTAATGATACATTAGGTTCATAATTATAAAAACTAGTTTGAGTACCAAAGTTTTTTCCATGGATTTTCGAAAATCTGATCACATGAAATAATTCAGCAGTATTTAAAAAAAATTCTGTGTTAAAGCAATATCATATCATATAATATCATATCACTCGATATCATTTTTACGATAGGGATAATACGTGGACCCATAAACTGCAGACCCATGCAATCATGTTAAAAATAGTTAATACTGACAGCGTGTACATTTTAAAAGAACTACCCAAGATAACTGGTCAGAAAACAAAATTACTATTTGTATGAGAATTTCTAACAAGTAAACAAAATATTAACCTAAAGCCACAAAACCACAGCTATGGAAGGCATATCTCTTGTCTACTTTTTTCATTTTTAGAATTCTATTGTTTTTTCTTCACACAGCTGCTTTGTGGTTTTGTGTCATTCCTAGTACCAGGTGTATCTCGAACTCTGCGTGCCAGCTACCTACCCACTCATGTATTTTTTGGAGTATTTATTTTTGGCATGGCAGTAGCTTCTGCTCTTATGGGCATAACTGAGAAGTTGCTTTTCACTCTGTAAGTATAACATTATCTTAATCATTCATTATTTATCCTTATTTATTTTTCCTATTTATGCAATATTTATATTTAATTATTTATTTACTTAATAAAGCATTCTTCTTTATATTTAATATATCATTTCTCATTTCCATTATGCATCTGTAATCTAATTTAAAATTTGTGATAAAAAAAATGTTTGTAAAAAACATTTTTGTAATCTTGAATATTCCTTATCAAAATTGTTGACATGTAATTAAAAATAGCGTTCAAATGTTTAGTATACTTATAGATATTTTTCATTTGATACATATGCATGATATCAATTTGAATTTATGTACATGTATTTGGAAATATAATTCTTTCATAGACACATGCGAGTGATGATATTTGTAAATCTGCATCTTAATGGTGATTGTCAGGTGGCAAGGCTGTTATATGAATGAAATAATGCTATTCCCGCTGGCTAATGTCTTAGTTAAAATCTGAATGTTAGCATAATATACCAAATTAGGAGTTCACTCACGTTTCTGCTTCGTCCAGACTGATTTAACAATAATGGCAATGAAGGGCTCCTGAGAAAGTTGTGCAATGTAAACCTAATCTGCATCATGTGATTTATTGGTACATTGCTATGCAACCACAACTTGTGTGAAATGCATTCGCTTAAACAAACACTGTGCATTTTATGTTTCAGAATTTACTGATACAAACTGCTCTTAAGCACAAAACAGTAAAATTTATCAAGGCAGCCTTGGGGTGACCAGGCAGTAATGTTTTAACGTGAAAACGCTGCAGTTTGCAGTGAAACGATTAAAATAACTTTAATGAATGTTTTAGGTTTTGTGTAATGTTTTGTTTAAGTATAATGATGGTTTTCAATATTTATGTATGTTCCACAGTTGATATAATGTAATTAATTGTACGGCACCAATTAAGTGAAAAACGCTGTCTTATTATTTTGTTACTATGGTAATGCATTATCTTGAAGTCAGGTATTCATATTGTAACAATGTGTCTAGACTGAAAAAAAATTAGATACAACAAATAAGTAAAGTACCAGTAAATCATTTATCGTACATCCAAGATATAAAATTTGATGAAATTTAGTAATCAATGAGTTGTTGTATACGGTTATTGCAAAGAATGCATGTACTGCAGTTGTACTGACCTACATGTTGACCTAACTGCCTGTGTGCATACTTTGCGGTATTTTCATGAAAACCATTATTATTATACTTCATTATCATGCTTGTAGTAAGAAAAAAATGTGCAAACTTGAAATATTATTTAACAAGAGTCATGTTTGTGTGACCAAGTTTTGTTTTCATTCATGTGCTGAATTGTCGTCGTGTCTGTATTAATGCTATACATAACATGTGATTTGATTGATGTACATTACATGTGATTTGATTGATGCTATAATTAACACACACCATTTGATTGACATACATAGTACAAGTAATTTGAATGGCGTACATAACACGTGTGATTTGATTGACATTCATAACAGATGTGGTTTGATAGATTCTGTGCATAACACATTTGATTTGATTGATGTACATAACACGTGCCATTTGAATGACAAACATAACGCATGTGATTTGATTGACATACATAACACATGTGATTTGAATGACATACATAACACATGTGATTTGATTGAAGTACATAACACATGTGATTTGATTGACATACATAACACATGTGATTTGATTGACATACATAACACATGTGATTTGATTGACGTACATAACGCATGTGATTTGATTGGCATACATAACGCATGCCATTTGAATAACATACATAACACATGCAATGTGAATGACGTACATAACACGTGTGATTTGAATAACATACATAACACATGATTTGAATGACGCACATAACACATGCAATTTGAATAACATGCATAACACATGCCATTTGGTTGACGTATATAACACATGCCATTTGATTGACGTACATAACACGTGCCATTTGATTGACATACATAACACGTGTGATTTGAATGACGTAAATAACACGTTTGATTTGATAGATTCTCTACATAACACATGCCATTTGAATGACATACATAACACATGTCATTTGAATGATGTGCATAACATGATTTGATTAATGTACATAACATGTGCCATTTGATTGACGTACATAACACATGCCGTTTGAATGACGTACATAACACGTGTGATTCAAATGACGTACATAACACGTGTGATTCAAATGACGTACATAACACGTGTGATTTGAATGACTTACATAACACATGATTTGATTAATGTACATAACATGTGTGATTTGAATGACGTACATAACACATGATTTGAATGACGTGCATAACACATGCAATTTGATAGATTCCGTACATGACACATGTGATTTGATTGGTGCTGTATGTCTTGCTTGTTAACTACAAAACTGTTTTCAATTGCAGTGATAATTATAGTGATTTGCCAGCAGAAGCTAGAATAGCAAACACTGCAGGCATATGCTTTCTTGTCTTTGCTGGTATCATTGGTTACCTAGTTACCAGGCATGATTTTAAAAGAGAAGAAGTTGACTATGAACATGAACCTCTTGCCATGGATTAAAAACTACCCACATATCATGTAATTATATATCACCTCATTTCCCTAGATGTATCTTTCTTGTGGTAGACTTGTCACCAAACCAATTCAAGATTTTCTCTGGTTAATCCAGTGTATGTATAGTGTATATGGCCCTGTATAGATTATGTTGGGGATTAATTATACTATAATGTATAGGGATTATTTATATTTAACCTTCAAGAACCAAAATAAACTTTGGTTATTATCACAAATCAAAAATATTTTAACAAATCTTCAATTATTTTGGTCAAAAAGTGTAACCAATTGGAAATTATGTACATTTTGTATAATAAAATAAATTAGTAAAATTAATTTTATAAGATACCTAAATATGTGAAAAAATTTGGCGCCAAAATTATGGCAAGAAAAATTGTTGTATTCAAAAAACCAACTATGATAGTCTGAGACTCATTAAAATACTAGTCTTGTTTCCCTGACAGCATTTTCCATTGTGATAAGTTGGTAGAATATTGTCTTCTCCCCCGGCTTATCTCTCACGTTTGAAATTTTGAAATTGGGACAAGATCTATTATAAGAAAATCTTCTGGTTGGAAGTCATGTGAACTGCATTAGGTGGCTTACATTTAGATGTCATGTGACTTTCATTTTAAGTGATTTGCAACTTTCATTTAGGTGTTGTGCGACTTTCATTTAAGTGTTTTGCAACTTTCATTTAGATGTCATATGACTTTATTTAGATGTCATGTGAATTACATTTAGGTGTCATGTGACTTTCATTTAAATGTCATGTGACTTTCATTTAGGTGTCATGCCACTTTCATTTATATGTCATGCGACTTTCATTTAGATGTCATACCACTTTCATTTAGATGTCATGCGACTTTCATTTAGGTGTCATGCGACTTTCATTTAGGTGTCATGCGACTTTCATTTAGATGTCATGCGACTTTCATTTAGATGTCATGCGACTTTCATTTAGATGTCATGCGACTTTCATTTAGGTGTCATGTGACTTTCATTTAGATGTCATGCGACTTTCATTTAGATGTCATGCGACTTTCATTTAGATGTCATGTGAACTACATTTAGGTGTCATGTGACTTTCATTTAGTTGTCATGCGACTTTCATTTAGATGTCACGCGACTTTCGTTTGGATGTCATGTGACTTTCATTTAGGTGTCGTGCGACATTCATTAAGATGTCATGTGACTTTCATTTAGGTGTTGTGCGACTTACATTTAGATGTCATGTGACCTTCATTTAGATGTCAAGCGGCTTTCATTTAGATGTCACGTGACTTTCATTTAGGTGTCATGAGACTTTCATTTAGATGTCATGCGACTTTCATTTAGATGTCATGCGACTTTCATTTAGATGTCATGTGAATTACATTTACGTGTCATGTGACTTTCATCTAGATGTCATGCGACTTTCATTTAAATGTCAAGTGAATTTCATTTAGATGTCATGTGACTTTCATTTAGATGTCATGTGACTTTCATTTAGGTGTCATGTGACTTTTGTGTCATGTGACTTTCATTTAGGTGTCATGCGACTTTCACTTAGGTGTCATGTGACTTTCATTAGATGTCATGCGACTTTCATTAGATGTCATGCGGCTTTCATTTAGGTGTCATGCGACTTTCATTTAGGTGTCATGTGACTTTCATTTAGATGTCATGCGAATTTCATTTAGATGTCGTGTGACTTTCATTTAGGTGTTGTGTGACTTTCATCTAGATGTCGTGCGACTTTCATTTAGGTGTCGTGTGACTTTCATTTAGGTGTCATGTGAATTACATTTAGGTGTCATGTGACTTTCATTTAGATGCCATGTGACTTTCATTTAGGTGTCATGTGAATTGCATTTAGATGTCATGCGACTCTCATTTAGGAGTCATGTGACTTTCATTTAAATGACATATGAATTTCATTTAAATCATGTGACTTTCATTTAAATGTCATGCGACTTTATTTAGGTGTCATGTGAACTACATTTAGGTGTCATGTGACTTTCATTTAGATGCCATGTGGCTTTCATTTAGGTGTCATGTGACTTTCGTGTCATGTGACTTTCATTTACGTATCATGTGACTTTCATTTAGATGTCATGCGACTTTCATTTAGGTGTCATGTGAATTACATTTAGGTATCATGTGACTTTCATTTAGGTGTCATGCGACTTTCATTTAGATGTCGTGTGAATTACATTTAGGTGTCATGTGACTTTCATTTAGGTGTCATGTGACTTTCATTTAGATGTCATGTGACTTTCATTTAGGTGTCATGTGACTTTCATTTAGGTGTCATGTAACTTTCATTTAGGTGTCATGCGACTTTCGTTTAGATGTCATTCGACTTTCATTTAGATGTCATGCGACTTTCATTTATGTGTCATACGACTTTCATTTAGGTGTCATGTGAATTACATTTAGGTGTCATGTGACTTTCATTTAGGTGTCATGTGACTTTCATTTAGGTGTCATGTGACTTTCATTTAGATGTCATGCGACTTTCATTTAGATGTCATGCGACTTTCATTTAGATGTCATGCGACTTTCATTTAGGTGCCATGTGAATTACATTTAGGTATCATGTGACTTTCATTTAGATGTCACGCGACTTTCATTTAGATGTGATGCAACTTTCATTTAGATGTCATTCGACTTTCATTTAGATGTCATTCGACTTTCATTTAGATGTCATGCGACTTTCATTTAAATGTCAAGTGAATTTCATTTAGATGTCATGTGACTTTCATTTAGATGTCATGTGACTTTCATTTAGGTGTCATGTGACTTTTGTGTCATGTGACTTTCATTTAGGTGTCATGCGACTTTCACTTAGGTGTCATGTGACTTTCATTAGATGTCATGCGACTTTCATTAGATGTCATGCGGCTTTCATTTAGGTGTCATGCGACTTTCATTTAGGTGTCATGTGACTTACATTTAGATGTCATGCGAATTTCATTTAGATGTCGTGTGACTTTCATTTAGATGTTGTGTGACTTTCATTTAGGTGTCATGTGAATTACATTTAGGTGTCATGTGACTTTCATTTAGGTGCCATGTGACTTTCATTTAGGTGTCATGTGAATTGCATTTAGATGTCATGCGACTCTCATTTAGGAGTCATGTGACTTTCATTTAAATGACATATGAATTTCATTTAAATGACATGTGACTTTCATTTAAATGTCATGCGACTTTATTTAGGTGTCATGTGAACTACA